CTCGGCGCCACCGCCACCGCTGCCGGCCGAGCTCACCACCGGCGTGGGGGCTCTGCCCAACGTCCTCCGCAAGATGAATGGCAACAGCTACATGCTGCTGCAGCAGCAGGAGGAGCCGCTGGCCTCGCCGCTCTACAGCGCGTCCTTCACCGAGGAGCTCAGCAAGATCCTGGAGAAGCGGAAACACACGCAGCTGGTGGAGAAGCTGGACGAGAGCTCCGTGTAGGGGCCTGGGGGGGGGTCCTGCCAGCGGGACCGTCCTCCCCTCCGGCCCCTTCTCCCACCCCCTGCCAGCAGTGTTACAAGACTCAGGCGAAACTACCTCCTGGATGGCAGAGCCGGGCCGGGCCCGGGCTCGGCCGTTCCTTTGGCTTTTCACTCACTTTTGAGACTCGCTGTACAGAGAAAAAAAAGAAAAGAAAAAGAATCTATTTAAATTTGGGAGCTCTATTTATGTATAAAAACCCACCGACGGTGGCCACGAGCTGGAGGCAGGAGCTGGCACCTGGCTGAAGGTGGGCACCGGGGGAAGGGAGAGTTTCTGTCTGTCTGTCCATCCAGGCGCACCCGAGAGATGCTGTTGTGGATGCATGGACTCCGCCTGCCCTGCTGGGTGTCCCTCAGCGCACGGGAGCCGGATGGCTGCTGAGAGGTGGGTGAGGGGGGCTGCCGTGCGCTGCCTGCGCCTCTGGCAGGGTGTGGGGTCTCTTCCCAGCACGGGGCCAGGGGGGCTTCCCCCAGCTGCCTGCTCGCAGGCAGGAGAGGGGCTGTGGACACATCTCGCATGGCGGGGGGGGGGGGTCAGTGGCTGCCAGCCCCTGCCTGCTCTCCCACGTCTGCCCCCCCAGGGTTTCCTCTCCGGGAGAGGATGATTCGGCGAGGGACAGAGCCGGGGCAAGGAGCCCATGTCCCCGGACACCCCGGAGGAGCTGGTGGAGTAGCACATGCCCTCTGCAAGGAGGCCCCAGGTGAAAGGCAGGGCTGGGTGCCCTGGGGAGGGTGGCACCCCCAGGGCCTCCCACCCTGACACGGCTCTGCCCCCTCTCCCCAGGGCGCTGCAGGGGAAGAGCAGGATGCAGCAGCAGGCACAAGATGCACCGGCAGCAGAACCAGCAGCCACCGCCATGCCCTGCAGTGTGGCAAGGGACCAGCGCAGCACCCGCATCCCCCTGATGCCCACAGTGCCCCCGTGGCCCCTGGCACCATGTGTTTCTGCCCTCCTTCGTGGTGCCGTTGGAGAACTGGGGTTCAGGCGCAGCCCTGTTCCCTGTGGGACAACGTGTGGCAGGGGAAACATCCTGACACAGCAAGGAAGAGGAGCCCTGGACCAGGACCTGCCTCCCTCCTGGGCCTCCTGCTTTTCATGGCACTTTCTGGGGACAGCCACTGTCCCGAAATCCCCCCAACTACCTCTGCTCCTGCCGCCTCCTGAGGGAAGCCGAGGGACTGGGGTGACAAGAGCGTCTCATACCCTGGGGACGGGGAGGCGACACCAGAGAAGCCAAGGAAGGACAGACTTGCTCCGAGATGTGTCCTCCCCTCTGTGTTCCTTGCTGGCACCTCCAAGATCAGGACATCGCCTGGAGCTCAGCCCTGCAGGGGGGCAGGAGGAGGGGGCAGCCCCAGGGGTCCATAACGGGCCGGAGTCCAGGCCCTGCTGCCCCAGCAGAGCGAGGCTCAGTGGGAAAAGGCAAGAGCTGGATGCCTGGGCTCTCCCATCCTGCCCCCACCCTTGTTTTTCCTGCAAGGAGGGGGATGAGCCACCCCCAAGCACACCCCTCTGCCAAGGAGGGGCATCGCCCTCCATGTCCGGCACCCCCCGTGCACAGCCCCATGTGCCCCCTGGCAATAAACGCGGCTCTGTCTGGATGTGGCATGGCGGCATCTCTGCAGGCGCGGGACGGCGGGAGGAGAGAGAGGGACGCGGAGGCATGGGGTGGAGGCTTTATTGGGGCTGCAGCCGCGGGCCCCGGACAGTGAGGGCAGAGGGTTTGTTGGTGAGGGGGTGCCACTGGCCCTGGACGCTGGGGTTGTCGGTGTGGAAGGGCTTACGGATGCGGATGATGTCCAGGCCGGACTGGCTGGCCAGCTTGGTGGCCAACTGCACGATCTCCTCGCTCGTCTTGCTGGCGATGAGCTCCTCCCGCACCGTC